CAGAGTTCCTGCTGTTTTTATTTCTTTTTTTTTTCATCAGCAAATTCACGTATATATTATATTCTTTATTCAATGAAAAATCTAAATTTTCGCGTTTGATTTTAGTCCATGTTTTAGTCCATGTTTCATTTATTGTAACTTAGTTTGGTGCATTTTGATCAAAAACTGCATCAAATTCAAGGAGTATTCCAGCGGTTTTAGTGCTTTAATCGATTTTCAAGGGCTTTTTATATAGTACACTTGAAAACGAGCTTTCAATCCTGGGGCTCTGAAATATTCCAGTCAGCGCGCGAAAAAGAATACTTGTATCAATGAAACTAGTTTAATTTTCTCTCTATTTCATCTTGTCGCGTATCAAACTTTAAACAACCATCTGAAAGTCTACATTTTTTAAGGTCGAGAAAGGAACACGTTTTAGTATAAAAAAAAGTGTTAAATTCAGAAACTCCCCAGCCCTTCTTTTTCTTTTATGTTTTTTGCAGCTCCTYGCCGACTTAGACTGTTGGCAGTACTGGCGCAGGTGATCGGCTAAACTTCTAAATTGTAATTTCTTGGCAAATTTGAWTTAATCGATGGCCTATTTACAGAAGCCTAGCCCAAAAGAAATAAAATCTARCAAAACGTACCTTTTGCAAGAGTCGATCTTGTTAAAGGGAGAATTGAAAGAGTAGCAATAATATAGAAAACATTTCTTATGTCGACCATCGCTGAAGAAAAAAGTTACATATGCCAATAACTTGAGTACCTACTGCTATGGGAGAATGTAAACGCGACAGCCTGTTTAAGTTTTAATTCTTCAAACTGCTATTGATTGGCCATGATACCAGCCAATTATAATAACAAGCTCCTTATAATTGAAAGTGACTTTGCACAAAGAAAAAGATGGCGTCAACCTGAAAACAATATTTGTTTTGACTACAGACTCACCGAGATTCAATAGTTTCAACCTGAACAATAACACGTTTTAATAAATATTATTCACATAATTATATGTTTTCCCCTGGCAATAATGAAATATTCTCATATGTCATTTCATCGATAATTACGGTGAGGTTTACAAGGGCAATAATTAAAAATTATGGAAAATGTGATAGTGAAGAAAGAAAAGACTAGTCATTTGCTCTGCATTAGGCACAAGCTAAATTCGACGTTGTTGACCTTTCACAGGCTGAAAAATATGCTTACTTGCAAGAGCGTTTTTATCGCAGATTTCTTCGTATGGATAGAAGCCAATTAACATGATAAATGGAGACAAACTGCGAGTCTCTGCGCGATATTTCAAAAGGCCCGTTTACACTTGCGATTAGGCCCGTTTACACTTGGGATTTTTTGCAGCGCGATAATCGCCACTTTGCTATTCGCGCAACKAAAATCGTACGTGTAAACAGCCCTGCGATTGTTGCGACGATGGAAAATCGCCGCGGACTTCCAGCCAATTTCAAGCATGTTCGAAACTTGCAGGCGATTGTTGCGCGACGATCGCCGCGAGAATCGCGCTGCAAAAATCGCAAGTGTAAACGGGCCTTAACTAATTCATTGAATTACAATAATACTAGTATACCTTCTAAATAAGCGGTATGAAATTGATATGTGTATTATATTATTTTATTTTCAGTTGAAGAGTCTCCACTTGAAAATGATCATAGGCCTTTCCTCGTGAAAAATAAAATGGAAAATTTCACAAGATGCGACGAGTGTTCAAATGCCATTTCTGAAAYACAAAATCACGGTGCATTGTGGTCTAGCTACCGTACAAACAACACCATATTTGGCCACATGAACAAAAGATGTTTGCACTGAATCTAGACCACAATGCAATGCGTAATGCTATTTCAAATCCTGAAGCATTATTCAAGAATATTCGCACAATTTTTTTTTCTTTGCAAAAAACTTATCTGATAAATACATCAATGTGAGCATTGCAAAATTTGGCTTGAAAATAAAAGTCAAGATTGCTAAAATGCATGCTGACATTTTTCGATATAATAATTGTCTGATAACAATTTTAGCTGATAACAAGTTTCGTTGATTGTAACATTTCGTTAAATGAAAAATCAATATATTTTTACYATGTCTCGATATTAACTTTCTTATTCTAGAAAGTAGAATGCCATTATCCCCGCTCAGTTGCGAAGACATGAAAACAACAACAAAGTCATTTGCATATGTCCCTCTTTCACTTTTTTCCAGGAAAACTTTCATTACAATGAAGATAAYCTTTAATTTGCTATTTCTCGTGAGTTTGAAAATCCTTGAACAGTTTTATGCCGATGACTTTGTTGTTGTTTTGATGTCTTCTCGACGGCAGAACGTTGGTAAGACTACTTGTACCCGACATATACAAAAACTTAAATAGTTCGAATGATGTKTCATTGCTATGTAATTTTAGATGTTCAGTATCTTTATCTATCATTCATTGTCTTGAAAATCAAGGCATTGCATGTCACTATAACAACTGAGTTAATGGCCTTTYCCCCTACGACATCACGTGACGTTCGGCGAGGTGCACTATGGGATTGACGAAACAACAGACTAAAAATTCATGTTATTGTGTCTGTTTTTGTAAACATAATAAATTTATATGCCTTGCTCTGTCATTGAGTATTTTGTTCTACGCTTAAGTAGTCAACAATGTTATCTAAATCATCCTGTTAAACGGTTTTCACAYTGAAATTTGGTGTTGTAGCGCTGTTTTTATGAAAACATTCGCCGTCTTGAACATCAATACCTTGTACACTTWGCAAAAAGGACCATTTTGACACCAGCTCGAACTCATTTCTAAGAGAATTGCTGGCCACTTCAAGAATTTTACAATAGTGAATCGTTTCACTACAKGTCTCAAATTGAATCCATGGACTCAATAACAATAACTGCAATAATTCAAATTTAATGCTTTTCCTTACTGGGAAAGCATTGTTTCTTTTGTTATTCATTGTTCATCCATAGCTTCACCATTCACTGACGAACTCSATGAATTTTCCGCGACAATTTTCAAGACTTCCTCGAGAACATCCCAGATGTAATTGCCTTTGATAAAGTCATTGTCTACAAGGTTTACTAAATAGTAAGTGCTGACAATTTCGTCGATAACTTTGCGAGACTTTGAGTCTTCTTGGTACAGTCGACCCCACTGTTGCTCCCACAATGCGAATGCTTCATCCTGAGAAAGAGCAAAGAAATATTGTTATTAGAATATGCACGGCGCCACTGAAGGTATAAAGGCAGACCATAGAAGATCAAGAAACTCCAGTACGGTGCGCTCTTGTGGGTACAGKCAACTCTCGATATTACGGACACCCTCGGGACCGTAATTTAATGTCCGCAGTAGCGAGAGTCCGTAGTAACGAGAGTTACTTACAGTCATTTCTTTGTATTTTTCGCCAGGGATTCAGTATTTTGCTGTCCACAATATCGAGGTGTCCGTTGTAGCGGGGTGTCCGTAAGGCGAGAGTTGACAGTATAAACTTATAAAATGGCTGTCCAGACTAGTTAGTATCTTTTGTAATTTCATTTGTTTTTTCGTTGGTTTTGTTGTTGTTGTTCTTGTTTATTGTTTGTTGTTGTTGTTTTTTTCAACTCACCTTCCAGAATTTAAAGCTGATTGGGTCTACAACCGTTGGTTGCATAATTTCTTTGCCAGGAAAAACTCCCCATGTTACCGCAACCGGAGTAAGTTGGCTGCAGTTTGTTATATCAACGGTGCCCTCGGCGTTGACTACGTGGAAATTGACTTGTGGGTATTTCTTGAGAACTTCAAGCATTACGTTAGCGATGTCTGGRCTTGTAAAGAACTCCAAATACGCCTGAAATGAGAAGAGGTAATAAAAATGTAAGATGAAATCATTAATACTACTAATATTGTAAAAAAAACGTTTTCATAGCTGAGAAAGAGAAAATTTGCATTTTATTTAAAGAGAATTCGCTAAAAGATTACTAAAGCCAAACGCTTTCCAGGCATTTCCTACAACTGTAGGTATTTCTTGATACTAAAGTACTGAAATGGTTTATTTCGCTTAAATTAAGTTTTTTTTATTTTATCATATAATATTCTTTGAATTAAGTAATAGAGAGGGGATTATACGAGACAATAAGCCCTTTTTCCAGTTCAATGCGAGCGACCGCTGTTTTAGTACACAACAGCCTCACTCGTGYAGAGAACAAAAGAAAGCAAAATGTTCACATTACAATAGCTCTAGAAATTTGAATCTTCACCGATTTGAGGCTTAGCCTGAGCAAGAGTTTGAACCTTCTGGAAATACAGAATAGGAAAAAATGCAATTTATAGTGCTATTGTAATGACAACATTTTTTCGTGCTTCCTTATGTTTTCTTCTTATTTTTTCTGCTCATGAGAGACTGTTGTCAACTAAAGCAGCGGTTGCTCGCTTTGAACGGGAAAAGCCGCATTAATGAAACACGAGACAAAGTCGCATAGCAAATAATTGTATTATATAAAAAAAATGATATCATTAAAATCAAGTTACCTTTTGGTAGATGTAGCCACCTTCCCCACCCCACCCCACCATGGGATCAGTGGATAGAGCAGCATTGACAGAAGGCTGACTGTTGATTGTTAAGATTCCCGAAGAGTTCAAGTGCTCTAGTCTGTCTTTAATAAGACTGGTTTCCAAAGCAAGTTCTTCATCATTCCAAGGCAGTGACTTAACCTGGCCAGTAAAAATAAACAGTTTAGTAAAAATTTAAGCTGTGTCACTTTACTTTTAGGGGGCTTTCCAATTGTTGAACTGGCTGGGCAGATTGATTCCTGTTCAATCAGAATAATCAATTTCTATGTCTGTCCTTTAGAGTAATAGTCTCCTCGCAGCCGTTCTTAGTGCCGGGCTCCCTGTCCCCCGCCCCACAAACGCAAATTTTGACATAAGGCATTATTTTCTTTTGAATTGACTGGTCTGGTTGGCCAGTTCTGACTAAACAAAAACAATAAATAAGAACAGTAAACAAGCAAGTTGACTTGCAGTTTGCGCTTCTACTGCCACTTTGTTCATGCTCTTTTCACTCTCCAGGCCGCACAGGCAGCCCAACCTCATTTATTTTTTGCATTTACCTAAAAAACTATGAAGATGGTCTCCTACACTACAAATTAACAACAGTTTCAAATACCTTCACTCCATTTTTGTTTTCCTTCCCTGAGATATAGCAGCTAAAAGGCTCAAACACGTCTTCAATTTTTTCCAGATTTTGTCCCCACATTTTGAGCATTTCATCTTTCTTTGTTCGACTCCTCAAGTAAAAAAGATGGTGATCRCTCAGGTCTCTAAAAGATGGAGCAGATGAATTCCCCCAACGGCCGTTAGGGTACTCATCCCACTCTGAAGTCCTATAAAGGTAACTCTTAGGCCTTGTTGCCCAAAATATAGGCCTCACATCCTCACCAACTCGCTTCTGATTGGCTGATGATCTCCATGGCAACACTCTACTTGCYGCTGGGTCTGTGCACCAAAGACCCAAGGCACATAGAATTTCACGTGTCGCTACCTCACGATTCAGGGTATAAAAATGGAGTCCTGGGACAAGCCCACTGTCAAGAAGTTCCCGGCACATGTCCAAMGACATTTGAATGCCAAGTCTACGAATGGCTTCATCGTCATCYTTGATTGGTTGTAATGCATCCACAATGCTTTGTGGTACTTCTAATCTTGATAGCTTTACTAAGTGTCGAAGAGATGCATAACCCTGTATAATAAAAAAAYATATCATATATTTCAATCATACWGKGCAATAACWAACAGTATCATACAAGTTATTGTAAATAATATTCCATATACATGTAATGATAGTACATTATATTACCTGGATGGGCAGAATACCAGGAATTATTGGTATGTCAATACCAATCCTTCGACAATCCTTCAAAAACTTAAAAAATGTCTTGTTATCAAAGAATAGCTGTGTAATGATGAAATCAGCACCAGCATCGACTTTCTCCTTCAAATGCACCAGGTCCTCCTCATAACTGTCACAATCAGGGTGACCAGCAGGATAACCTACAAAASAWAAGAAATGTCAGGGTAGTAGATGACAAAATGGCAGAATCCTATCTAATCATAATCCAAGCCTCAAGTTTTTGGGGTTACTCAATKAAYGGATTTTTTTAWCATTATTTTTATCTCTCAACATACTGTAAAATAATCATGATATTTAAAATTATATGTTTTTTTCAATGTTTTTACCTGCAACACAAATTGTAAAGTTGTCTCCAAATTCTTTCCTGATGTGTCTAACCATATCTGTGCCATATGCTAGGCCATCGTCAACTGCCTTCCACTCGTCACCATCTGGTGGGTCTAGATRCAAATGCAGAGGCAATTTAGAATAGACTCCTTGCAGWTTGTGCGAATGCAACTAYAACTTGAAGACAAAACAATGGATTCTAGTTCCCAAGAGGGTAAAAATCTTTTGTTTTGTCTTCCTGGGAAACTGCTTTGACTTCATATGGATGGGTCTATACTGGAATACAGTTGAACCCGCATTTCACCCTTCTGCTTATGTTWCATGTGGCCACCCAGTTATAATGACCATTGGGGTCAGTTKTACASWCGTGCAGTTAACTCTCTTTTAATGACCACTCTCATAAATGACCATCCCCCGTAAGCGACCACCTTTTCAATTTCCCGTTATAACTGTTTCCCATATAAACTCTGTAAAAAAAAACCCTTGTACAATAATTTCCYTAAGTGGCCACTTTTTCCTGACCCCAACGTGGTCGCTTACGAGAGAACTAACTGTATTGATAAAGTTATAGAACTATACTTTTTTATCTATTTTTGGAAACTTTATGTTATTTGAATTATGTTGACTTAWGTTGATTTATATCTTTTAAGAAGATTGTGAAAAAGGGCATCTACTATTAAAAACTGACATTTTATACAGATTTGCACAATAATTATGCCAAAAATATTCTGAGAATATGAAAGACGTGGAATTTACACCACGATATATGGTTCTGCATCGGCAAATCCTGTCAGAAATCCTTTCAGTATTGCTAGGCCAACAGACCAAATGATATATGATAGTAATGTCAATATTAGTTACCTCCTCGTAGAGCAAGYATGTTCCTTATTCCCAGCGACTTAGCTTTGTGCAAACTCTTTGTAACAGCCTCCTTAGTTTGGTTTGCGCAAGTCATATGCAACATTGTCTCAAGACCACAATAATTTAAAGCAGTGCTTGCAATCGTGATAGAGCTTGTTTCTTTGTCACCACTTGGATCCCCAGCTGGATGCCATGTTATGTCGCAAAATAATGGACAGCCACGTGCAATTCGATCAAACTTTCCTAGTAAGTTCACAGCTCCATTGGGAGTTCTTGGAGGAAAAAACTCCAAAGAGAAAAACTTCTCATTGTTTGCAATCTTTTGGTTWAGTTTTTCAATGAGTGATAATGGAGTCGACGGCACAGAATATGGCGTTGATGATTTTGAGCTGTTTTGGATGTCATTAATGACTTCCATTACTGGTGCGGAGTCTTGCCGTCCACCAAAACCCATAATATTTGACAATAATCAATATAAATTGGATTCTGAAAACAAGACAAATTATCAAAACTATTACTAACAATTACAAAGTTCATCAAGAGTAATGAGTAAAAACATCATGGACACAAGTAGAGACTAAAGTACAGTCACAYCGACAAGGAAACGGATGGTTTTTRAATAAGCTAAAAGATACTTTGCCTGCAGGCCAAACTCAAGCCTCTTTAGAAAATCTTTTGCATACCATCTGCCATCATCTAGGTTTTTTAAAGCTTTTTTGGAGTAAATATATAATCTTTCCCAATATAAAAAATATTGTGCACGTTCTTTACAAATGGCACCCTTAGATTATGAGGTACTAAGGKATTTATGYAAAGTTTACAAAAAGATTGCATTATGAAACCCAATCAAATTTGTAAAATATTTTGCTAAATAACAATGGTTTTAAAACTTTGATTGCTTCTTAACTTATTGGACATACTGACTTCAATATGTTTGAAATACGGAATCATTTGTACAATTTGTACATGTCCTTAATACTKGGGATTATGTTACACTCGCTCATGGGAAATTACTGCATGCGGACGACCTATATWCAAGCTTAAATTCCTTWAACAACGTAATTTAACWAGCAGTTAGTTTCATTAAAAAGTCTGAATTTGTCGGCTTTTAAATAAATATAAATACAAACAAAACAGTCCATCSAAAGAGAGTATTTTCTACAGACCACAGCAAATATGACCATGCGTGTGATTGTTTTGGGTAAGTTCGAGTTCAAATGTACGACGATCAAGATAGTTCCGATTATTTTGCAGCATTTACGCTAAAATGCATTATTTATACTGCTCTAAGATACCGAATACGTAAAATATAGACGATCAGCGACATTTGAAAGTGTGTGTTTGATGAATATTTGGATTACAMCAGCCATTCGGGTTTTAAARTTAGCAGACGAAAGCTGAACTGGTCGAACTCGACAAACCAGTTTGATTCGATTACCTTAGACCTCATGTTGTCGAAGCCGGTCATTCAGGATTSAGTCAGATCCTAGTAYAGCTAGCAGAAAGCATTTAAAAGCATGAAACACACATCTTGGCAAGGCTATTGAATTTGGACAGTTAATTTGCACAACGCAAAACATTTGATTTTGAAGTTTTGCCAGCGCATGGCAGCAAATATCGACTCAATCACACTTTCAAATAAAAAAATATCACCTAAGGCAAGATTCTTTGCTATTTTTTAGCTTACCTTAAGAAGTCTTAGTTAATTCGACCGTATGCAACCACACAAGACGAACCAGACAAAAACCGTTCATTCGTAAGGATGTATTGTTATATTTTCGATCAAGTCTGCCATATTTGATAGTGATTTTTCTAGCACGTGTACAAAGTGCGGCATTCAGCCAATCAGAGKAAAGAAAAGRATAATTTTGACATTCACGTACAAAGTCCATGTCACGTAGCGGGGGCCACGAAAGTTGCATTCGCTCATATTTTCCCAGTATTTTCACTCGAAATTTGATGCATTCAAAGGTTATTTTCAATCTTTAAATGTTTAAGAACTTTTAAAGTCTAAATTATGATATAAAGTATTGCTAGAATGATTTAGAGATTGTGCAACCCKACTGAAACTACGAAGTCACGTCTGCGGAACTTGCGGAATTATAACGCAGGATTTTACATAAGTGGCTGCTACACTTTAGGTGACAATTCTCCACGTGATAACTGCAACATTCAGCATGATCAATATTACCTTTAGTCTTTGAGCAGGCAAATMTAAATTATAAAAATTTTAATTTTGATTTTTTTTTTTTCTAAACTTGAAATGAAATATGCCAAAAAGAAGGCGTTTGAAATTGCAAAATCAATGCACAGAAACAAAATGACTGATATAGATGTGCAAAGCCAAAGTGTCCAGAACATTCTGAAAGCACCTTGCAAAATCGGAAACGCCTTAACGGCTTAAGGTCCTTGTGGGGTACCGGCCCGGCGCATTTTGAGGATGAAGAACTGACTCGCAGCGAGGAATGGAAGTATCTTTCTTTCCGCCCCCAATTCCTCCCCTACCCCTCTAACTCCGTAAATGCAGGCATTTGAGATTTTCYATTCTCCATGTTACCACACGTGCTTGAAAGTCACTAACACAGTACCTGTACATTGTGATGGGATCTTGCACGTAAAAATGTGCTGTTTTCTCTCACCAAACTTGACCATTTAACGTGTGTTACCCATATATCTGATATATACCCTATTTCGTCTATTTCCACACGGATTTTCATCTGGTTTGTAGGGTGATAGATAGATAGATTTTTCCGCACGTACATCCCATGATGCGTTTCGGGTTTAGTTATAATCTTCTTTAAAAGTATATACAGCAATAATAGTGAGCACTGAAGAAAGTGTATTACAATACCGAAATGCATTGTAGGTCGACATATTACCGCTGAACAGCAGCCTCRCGSTAAAGGGTTTCAYAGTGTTTCMAGACTGAGTCCAGGGGCGGATTCAGGGGAGGTGCTTTGGGTGTCTGCCGCTATGCTGCTTMACARTCTATTTGAGTAGTGYAGTCAAAGATACGTTGCAATAAAAGTCAATTTGCTTCCGGTGCATAATTGTCTTCCTCTAGACTCAATACGCAGCTAATAATAACAAATGTTCAGTTCCACTTGCTATACTTTAGCTATTACTGACTAAAGCACAACTCTTGTCTCGCTGTGCAAAGGCGTTTGGAAATGGCGCTCAATCTCGTACCCAGAGCCCACACTTTTGCCATCCAGCGGATGTTAATGCGTGAGAGAGTCTTTCCGGCGTCAGCATACCGCTGACATTAGCCGTGAAGACTATGGGCTCGAGACTGAATGGCGCTTGGAAATGTAAAATGGAATATTGTCATTTTGGGATCCCTGTGTTGTTCTTAAAATGTTCGGCATATGAAAATTGCCCTTAACATTTCTTTGTATCTCGTTTCGAGGTCGAGTGTCACGCAACTGCGCCCATACAAAATGTGGCTGAATTTTGCACATTTTCTTACTTTTCACGCAGTTCCTTTTTTCTGGCGCAAATAATACCTCCGATTCTCAAAAGATACACATTCAAGCAATACATAACCATGAAAATAAATTCAAATTTCAAAAAATTGAGTTCGGGTTTTTGGGGTTGAAGTTAACAATTTTGGCTGTTTTTACAAAGGATTCATCTAGTGATGATGTACGCTTTACAGTATGTGACCTCTAGCTACGTCAATCGCGCGTGTATCCAATTAATACCTCTGAATTTGAACTCTCCAATAAATTTGGCGTAATTTGATGTATAATACTTGTATGTTCGTTAAGATTTCGGTTCGGGTTTTGGCTTACGAAGTTTGTGTACTTGTCGTATTTTGTGTCTTGACCCTCAGTACGGTCACAGTGAGGGCGCAAAACGAGAGTGAAAATGGAAAGCAGAGCACATTTAAGAGTAATTCTCCTTGGTTTTTGTATGGAATTATAAAGTACGGCACTTTCTGATAAATTCGAAATTGAACATATTTGATTTTT